CACACTTACCCAGGGAGCCCTGGTTTTCTGGCTTCCTCGGTGTACAGCTGTAATGTGTATTACCGAATCACAGAATGGATGAGGTTGGAAGGCACCTCTGGAGGTCATCTTGTCCAACCCCCCCCGGCTCAAGCAGGGTCACCTATAGCCGGTTGCTCAGGAGCGAATCCAGATGGCTTTTGAATATCTCCAAGGATGGAGATTCCACAAGTCTGTCTGGGCAACCTGTGCCAGTGCTTGGTCACCCTCACAGTAAAAAAAAATTTTCCTCATGTTCAGAGGGAATCTCCCGTGTTTCAGTTTGTGCCTATTGCCACTGGTCCTGTCACTGGGCACCACTGAAGAGAGCTTGGCTTCCTCTTCTGTACACCCTCCCTTTAGGTATTTATACACATTGATTTGATTCCCCCTGAGGCTTCTCTAAGCTAAACAGACCCAACTCTCTCAGCCTTTCCTCATATGAGAGGTGGTCCAGTCAGTTATGTTAGTGGCCCTTCACTGGACTTTCTCTAGTATGTCCATGTCTCTCTTGTACTGGGGAGCCCAGAGCTGGATCCAGTACTCCACATATCTCACCAGTGCTGAGTAGAGCCCTCGACCTGCTCGCAGCACTCCTCCAAATGTAGCCCAGGATACCATTAACCTTCTTTGCCTCAAGGGCCCGTTGGCTCGTGGTCAACTTTATGTCCACCAAGAGCCCTGGCTTCTTTTCTGCCAAGCTGCTTTCCAGCCAGTTGGCCCCAGCATGTACTAATGCTTGGGGTTGTTCCTCCCCAGGGACAGGATGTTGCACTTCCCTTTGAACTACATGACTAGAAGGGAGATGATAATACTTTGTGAAATTATATGTTAATACCAAAGCTATTGGAGTTTAGCTGTTTGCCCCTTTTGATTTAAGGAATGCTGATAAAGTTATTCAAAAAAGGTGGTGTCTGTAGTGTTAGCTTCTAGGAGGGCGATGCTGAGAAGTATATTCACGACTGTTACTAGCTTTACCTGCTGGTGTTGTGCTCTTCGGGTGATAATGGCAATAGATTGCTGACAGTGATTGTTTATTCGGTCTTGGAGATTTTTAATAGGATAGACAAACATTGTTAAAGAAAGGGCTTGCATGCATCTGATCCTGCACTGTGGCAGTACTGTGGAATAAAGGACCTTTTGAGTCCTTTGCAGACTTTTTTTTTTGGTGGAACGATTGCACTTTCATGTACACTGATATTTTAGTCTAATTTCCTCAAGATGTACTTCTATGCTTTGAGTTCAGATGTTTGTGTTCAAATTGCATCTTTGAATCATTAGCATTGGGGCAGCGGTTTGTGGAAGTTTTCCAACTAGCAGCTTCTTATAAACAGCTATCTCTCCTGCCAATAACAGACTTGATCTCTCTCCCATTCCCCAAGAAAGGTAATGTTCAGATAAACTGGAGTACATTAACACATTTCGTCTCTTTGGACATTGGCTTCTTACTATCCTGGTGAATCTGGGTGTGTAAACACTACTGAAATTACTGGGATTTTGCTTGTGAATGCTTTTCTGAACCTGGGTGTTTGTGGGTTTGTTTTGGTTTTGGCTTTTTGGTTTTTTTGTTTTTTTTTCCCAAAACACCAGCAGAAGCAGTAATCTAGTTTCTGCTTAAATCTGCAAGAATAGAAGGCACAAGCAGGGCAACTGTATTACAACTGTGGAGTTCACTTTTAAAATATAACCATTAGAAGAAATCTGGGAATGAGCGTGGAAAAACATTTGGGCTCTGATCCTGTATTCATATTTGTGGATGTGGATTACTTATAGGCTTTGTTGTTGATAGGGATCTAAAGAGTTGCATAAATCTTCACTGTTGGGTCGGATTGGGGGATTAGGATCACAGTTCTCTAATAGTGTTTTTAGAGATGCTTTTGTACAGAGTTCTGAAAGATGCAAAAATGTTCTAGTAGCATCACAAACTTATTTATTGCTTAGTTGTTTGGGTTTTTTTAAAATCTGCATACAAGCCTGACTTAAGGAACTTAAGGGGATGAAAAGAGATGAACCTGTGAGTTAAATAATCCAAGGGTAGATTTAGTCATTGCAATTCTTACGTAACTTTGAGGATAGTGATACAGGAAGACCTCTTCTGTTCAAAAGCTAAACTACTTTTCAGCAGTGGAGAGGTAATAATAAATTTTTGCTGAAGTTTTACTGCAGTGACTTACTGTCCGGTGGAGTGGAGTTATTTAAAGTATTAGGAGTCTTTGCTTTGTTAGAAAACACTGCTGCAAACAAGATAGCTGCACTAGATCTTCTTTGGAAGACAGTGCTCTTTTAACTTGATATCCTAGAGCTTTAAGTTAATATCTGTGAGGTTTTGTGGGAACAGGTTTGCTAAAGTGAGTCAGTAGCAGAATAGTAAGCTGCACTGAGAGGCTTAATCTTAAAAGATAGTAAGATAAGTTTATAATACTATTTCAAATATTTCTGTATATTTATCCCATGGGCATGTGTACTCCTTAAAATTACGTTTTGTGGATCTTTCTTGTGCTTCCAGAGCAGCTCACGGTGTGTCAGTTGTTAAGTGGCAGAAAGCTCTGTATTCATGTTTGTATTCAGTGAGTTTGGAGCAAATCATGTTACAATCATTCCATCTTTTTTTTTATTGCATTTGGATTAAAAGTAGAAGAATTAAACAGTTCACTTTTAGCTTTTTCTTGAACAGATCCAAATTATTAAATGTACTGCTTATCTGTAACATACAGAAATGTTTACTGACTGACCAACCCAGAAACAGCAATGCTGTAATACCTCTTCAAACTAGCAGCTGGTGATTTGCCTGTTTTATACAGATCATACTTTTTTTGTAAATATAGCGAGCAATTAAATTGCAGTTGAGATAAAAAGGTTGTCATGTTGGCTAGGAGATTTTTGATTCGCGAGGGGAGAAAATGGCATTGGGAAGTGTTGGTGTGAGTCTATGCTTTGTTTGAAAACAAAACCTTGTTTTTTTTGAAAAGAAAACTGAAAAGCTTTTACTTGGATTGCTGTCTGCAATTCTAAATGGTTGCCTTCATTATCCGTACTTGTAAAATTGCCTGTTCAGGAAGGCTTTAGAAAATAATTTCCCTGAAGAGGCACCAATGTAGCAAATGCAAATTAAAAAGAAAATAACTGACCTTTCAATGTTATACATAGCAGAATAAGCAAAAAGCAGAGGGAGGATGACATTCCACCATTTCTCTGTTACTTTGAGGTTTTGGTTTTGGGAGATAGGGAGCTAAGAATTTTTGAATGTGTTTGTGATTTTTTTTGGTTTTAGATGTACAATGACATATCGCTTAAGTTTTGGGTACGTACAGATTAGTAGGCTAGTGGATCTGGTATCAGGAGAGTGGAAAAAGTAGCGATAAGATGATTTTTATCATGAAAATCTTTGTATTTAACCAAAACTCCAAAAGACGAGAAGGATGAAAGAGTATGTGCCTTGTTTTGATTTTGTTCAGCAGCCCATTCCTTCCCAACGCAGTGAATGGCTTATTCTTATTATGAGCTCTACTTTTATTTATAATGCCTAGAAAACCTGATATTTTGAAATTGCATGTAAATATATACTTTTAATGAAAAAGATTCTGCTAATCATTGTGTGTGTTTGATTACAAATGTGGGCAGATCTAGTCTTCCATGTCTTTATTCACTTGGTGGTTTTTGGGTGGAAGGAAGGGGAGAAGAGAAGTAGACCAGGGGTGGTTATGATTTTCCTCTATAATGTCATACCATTATTCTTTACTCTTTTACTACTTTCAGCTCTTATTTTCAAGGCTGCTTTGACAGTATTGGTAGACTCAGGGATATTTTCTTTCTCCACAGTAATTCTGGGAATAGTGGCTTTTTTTCCCTCTCTTCAGCCTTTTTCTTTAGATGTAAAATGCTAGATCGGTTCCTTTTTGTATAAACTGAACCAAACTTAACTTTAAACATTGTATTTTAAAATTGGTTCAGTTGAAAAGTGTTGGTTTTTTTTTTCAGTTGGGTGATGAAACTTGGCTAAATCACAAACTTCAAGGAATACTGACATCTGATATTTTGTTGCTACACTTATTTGCCATCCCAGATACCGCTTTATAAAGCATTGTATTTTGAAGCACCTTTGCATTGGTAAAGCACAATTGTAAACTGATTAACACTAAGCACTGGGCAGTAGAGGACAAAAGTTGGTTTGCTGTTATGTTGAGACTATGTCTTACACGAGTTTCTCTCTTCCTCTGAATTTTTCTTTATTGCTATAGTTTTTATTTGGTGTATTTACTGAAGTATATAGTGTCTGAATAACAGATCAAGCAGATGCTTATCTTGTAGCAAGTTATTTAACCATATTTGTGCAATGGAAATACGTTCAGTACAGGTGTTAATTTTGGACATTTGTGGGGTTTTTCAACAACACATGTAAGTATTTAAATTGTAGGCACAATATTGTAGGCATGTAATTCTTTGGCCATTAGTACATTGCTCTAAATAAAGAATACCTAGTTAGCTTAAGCAGATGACTAAGTAAGTTTGCTAGCTCTGTGTTCGACATTATTATATTTTATTGTACAAGTTGATTTGGGATCTGGTTAAGCAGATCAGTGTTGCAGTATCACTTGTGAGGTGCCAAGTAGCATGTTAGTATGGGAGGAAAGTTAACTGACTGTTAACACTGTGGAGGAAGAGTAGGGAAGAGACTCATGTCCATGATTACCTGCCTTCCCACCTGCACAGGCTCTGGGGTTGGATTCTGTGGATTTGCAGCTCTGAAGGAGAAAAGCATTAAACTTTTACAAATTATAATTTTCATAACTGTTTTTTGAAATCCCTACTAGTTTAATAAATACTGTTTTTCTTTTGATAAACTTTGAGAAACCTTGTGATAATGGAATCAACAAAATGTAGCAGAAGCGATTACTGTTCCTGGAGTTAACAACTTCTAAAGATAACTTTCTGTAGTGATCTTTCGTGATTCTAAACAATAATGTATTGTTTTATTTTTACAGATGACTATGGATGAGAAATATGTGAACAGCATTTGGGATCTTCTAAAAAATGCAATCCAAGAAATCCAGCGTAAGAACAACAGTGGTCTCAGTTTTGAGGAGCTGTATAGGAATGCATATACAATGGTGTTGCATAAACATGGTGAAAAACTCTACACTGGACTAAGAGAAGTGGTCACTGAGCATCTAATAAACAAGGTATGTCATTTTATGAACTAAAATTGAGGTGCCTCATATGAAAGAATTCTGAATAGTTATTTAAATGACAAAAAAATCTAACTTTCTTATGTTATTATGTTGCCTTGTGTTGAAATTGTATTGCTACCCTCAAAAATGGTAGCTTAGAGCTAACATTAAGCTTAAATGATTTTGTATTCTAGATACTGTTTGTTGTAAGTTACTGATGGAGGGAGGACCATAGGAAGTATTTGAAAGTGTGTAACAGGAAACAACTTTAGCTGAAGCATAACTGTTGAGAGCTGGGAATTTTTAAAAAAAGGTTTGTGGCCTTTTGGTGGCATTTTGTGACTTTCTCAGAACAAATTTTTGTTTGTTTTCCAGTCAGTTTTTTTCATCTGTGGTCAAAATAAATACCAATGTAAGAACCTGTTTGTTATGGGCTAATGAACTAATTCACAAGTTAATGAGAAAGTTGTGCTAGGATTATGCTATTTAAAGAGGCGGTAGGCAATGTACAGAAACATCAGCTCAGCAACAATAAAAGTCCTGAGTAGTCTGCATTCTATCATTTCAGCCTTTTCAAAACCATGTAATTCAGTTAAAATGACATGCAGAAACTTTTTGTTTCTGAAGATGTATCATCTGACAAAAGGGCTCTTCACATCTCGTGTTAAACTATGGAACCTCTTCAGTCTTTGTGAGGAAAGTTTAGGGTTGATTAATAAGTATGTCATTGAAAAAAAAAAAAGTTAAAACTCACTTTTTATGGGTCCAGATAATATTTAGTGGTAATAGGATCCTAAGTCTAGGGAAGATGGCTTACTTAATCCTTGCGCTAACATCCATAGCTGCCTGTCTTTGAAAAGAGACCCATGTCCACTTTGATCCCATATACTGGCTGTGGGTCCAAATGGAGTATCAGATTTTTGTCCTGTTACTACAACAGTTGAAAAGGAAAGTCATACACCATCATGTGTCTGATCCCATATACTGGCTGTGGGTCCAAATGGAGTATCAGATTTTTGTCCTGTTACTACAACAGTTGAAAAGGAAAGTCATACACCATCATGTGTCTTGGATGATTACTTCTGGCTGAATTACAGAGAGTGGATGGGAAGTTTATGTCTAAATAATGCATAATGCTTGGGGAACTTTTTGCGCATTCTAACTGCTGTGGCAGAGAATTGTGTTACTTCTTTTCTAAAATCTTAGTTTTCAAAGGTGTGGTCCAGACAAGTATAGTCTAAAACTGCTTTGAATATGGGGCTTTTTTACTGTTTGCACGAGAGGCAACATCCTGTATGAAGTGGCTAAATAATTTATGGCTCTATTCTGTAATTGTAGCACATCTGTGACTCTCAAACACTTCTGTTTTCATAATCTGTGCATTCATAATTGTACTATTCATACAAAATGTGGCAAATGGCGGAGGCTTTTTGTGCCTTGTTCTTGTATATGCCTATGTTTACAGTCTGTACTTAATGATAATCATGACACTAAATTTTTATTCTTCCTAGGCTTTCGTTTATCCTGGTTTAATTTGAGGAAAGCTTCTTATCTGTGTTCCTAGCTATTCTGCATATTAAAAATTATCCATATGCAGAATTAATTATTCTGAAGTGCTGATCGTGGCAAACTGACAAAAGAGCAGAAGATCCTGTGAGTTTGTACTGTTACTGCACTGGCTGAGAGGGTTGCACAGACACCAGTGTAGAGAAATTCCTTTCTGACACTTAATGGTATTGTATCTGATGCTTAAAAAAAAAAATCTTCTCCAATTATCTAGTATTCTGATCTTTAACGTGATTAATCAGATTATATTTATGTGTATGGGTAACATAAAAATAGATGACCAAAAGTTTTTCAAATAAAAAGGCTAACTACTGACTTTTAGTAGTTAAATGCTGTGAATGTAAAAAGGCGAAATTATTCAGATGTCTGATGATGCTGTCCTATAAGTCAAATAATCCCAGCAAAAGATTTAAAAAAAAGAAAATGTGACTTCTGTCAAAAAGTTCTGAACAATAAAGAAAACTTCTGTAGGCTCAAAGCTAATCCTTGTCCTTTTCGGTGGTTTGCTTAAGGATGTTATGTTGAGGCAGTTATAGGTGGAAGTATGGAAAAAATAGTGCATTGTTTGTTAAGAATAGGATCAGTTCTATAATGGCATCTTATGATTGTGCCGTTAGTACTTGTTGTAAGATAGATAAAAAGTTGTTTTTATTTAACCTCACACTTTACGTAACAGAAATTTTAGAGGAATCTTGTATTTCCAGCGTCTCTTTCCAAGAGCAGTTCTCTGTTAAATGTTAAGTAGCTAATTAACAATAAATGCTGTCATCACAAGTCTTTGTAAACTTCTATTCAGAGAATCAATGGTGGATGCTAGAGTTTAGAAGAGGGGGATTTTGCCAACTGAAATGTTGTTCATGAAATCTGTTAACTTTTATCAAAATGAAAATGTGCAGAAATGAACAGATTTTAAAAAAGGACTACACTCAGTTCAGGGAGTGCGTCTGAGGAGCCAAACCCAAATTTTGAATTGCTAGAATCCTTGAAACAGAACTGCCATTTGCTGTCCACACCTGCTGGTTATCTTTCTACAAAAAAGTTACATTCCTGTAGTATTCCAGTCATGCTAGTTAATTAAGAATAGATGAAGAGACTAGGTAGAGGCAATGTATTTGTTCAGATGTTTTTACAAATAGTTTTCAAGCTTGGAAAGCAAAAGTTTTTATTTTTGGTGTGGCACAGTTAAGAGCTATATTTATGCTTTATGCTTATTTAATTGCCAGATGAAAGTCGTGCTTACTCAGCATTTTTATTAGAAAGAAACCAAACACTTTAAAGAAGAAAGTTATTTAACTTCTCAACAAGAAAACATAATACCATGTACTGTCTTTTCAGCCTGTTTAATTGTAAATAAAATGATAGGTGCAAACATGATCAATACAAGATACAAGCACCCAAGCAAGTTACTATAAAGGACTGTCATGGTTTAACCCGGCAGGCGGCCAAACACCACACAGCTGCTTGCTCACTCCCCTTCCCCCCCAGTGGGATGGGGGAGAGAATCGGGGGAAAAAAGTAAATTTCGTGGATTGAGATAAAGACAGTTTAATGGAACAGAAAAGGAAGGGAAAATATTAATAATAATAATAACGATGATAGAATATACAAAATAAGTGATGCACAATACAGTTGCTCACCACCCCCCCCCCAGCCATCTGATGCCCAGCCAGTCCCTGAGCAGCGATCGCTGTTCCCCAGCCAACTCCCCCCAGTTTATATACTGAGCGTAACATCATATGGTATGGAATACCCCGTTGCCCAGTTTGGGTCAGCTGTCCTGGCTATGCTCCCTCCCAGCTTCTTGTGCACCTGGCAGAGCATGGGAAGCTAAAAAGTCCTTGACTAGTGCAAACGCTACTTAGTAACTAAAACATCAGTGTGTTATCAATATTACTCTCATGCTAAAACCAAAACACAGCACTATACCAGCTACTAAGAAGAAAATTAACTCTACCCCAGCCAAAACCAGGACAAGTATGCTTGGTTTTGAACTTGCAGACCCTAATGGCTTGTAGTTACAGTCACCAGGTTCTGGCTGTTTGGTGAAGGCAGTGGTAAGCCAGGTAGCTTACTCTACATCATTGACAGGAGTCAGCTGTCTTGAACTGCCTTGTTTTTAGTACAGTAAGGACATGCTAAAACTTGTCTTTGCCTGTGTATTGACATCATTATTAAAGTATAGTATATGTAGAATTGAATTTAAAAATACCGTTGAATAAAAAGTACTGAAACCTTTCATCTTAATTCAAGCATTTAATTCTTGTGCATCTGGTACTTCACTAATTTCTCCCTTTTTTGTCCTTCAGCAATCTTGTAGCTTGATGTTGACGCTCCTCCTTCCAATTCTTCCTTCGCACATCTCGAGCCTCGTCTGTTATTTCGTCACACAAATGTTGTAAAAGTGTTTTTAAAAAACAAACACACAAAGCTTTAATTACAGCTTTCTAAACCATTTGATAAGCAACATCACTTGTGTTGGAATAAAAAAATCTTGAAGTTAAAAAGTTTGCAGGATAAGATTTTTAAAGTTCCCTTCATTTTTATGAACACTTCATAGTCTAGTGAAATCTAAACCCATGACATGCCACATACCATATACATTCTGTAAATTGTGTGTGTGTGACAAAAGAATTGATTGATTTGTTGGCCAAGCCCAATACAGTTTTGTTGTTTTTTCTGTGTGGTGTATGTTAGAGATTCAGAGACGTAAAGGACTGTCCTAAACTTAAATGGCTGAAATGTGCTGGTTTGGGGAGATACTAGAGCATTACTGAAAAGGAAGAGGTGCTTGGGATATTCTCATGTCCTATAAGATTTCTTGATCTTACCAAACATTTCTGTTGCTTTCTGTTGCTGGCATGCCAGAATGCCTTGCGACATAGTGGTCTTTGCTGATATAAGAGGCGGAGTTAGGTAGCGACAGTGCATGCTATTTCAGAATAATAATAAAGGCAGGCATGCAAGAAAGCCTTTGGTACGGGGCACACAGAGCCAGTCCTTGTGGCAATGTTGTTAAGTGTAGAAGGAATTCTATGGGGCGCTGGTGCAGAGGGTATGGGGTGAAGGAAGCATGTCTACTCTGGGGCTTATAAAGGTATGTCTAGGATCCTTGGCAAGCTTTAAGATTTGCTATTGTGGTGTTGCAGAGAGAAGGGGAGAGAGAAGATAGGAATCTCCTACAGGGAGTTTGAAATTATTTTAATAACATCTGTGAAATAGGGAGGAATGACATGAGGAGTCATGTAGGAAACAAATTAATTAGTGAGCATTAGGGTGTACTGTAAGCCTGACTGACAATGTATGAAGTGTTACCTGCCTTTCTCTCTCCTTGATGATGTTTTAAGATGATCTTGTGCAAGTCTGCAATTATACGGAGGACAAAAGGATGTGAGGGAATTGCCAGAAAGTAAATGCAATTCAGAATCATCAATATTCTTCAGTGTTTTTTTTCTTTCAGCAAAAGGATAGCAGCTGCAGGGGTGAACAGACACTTCTGGTAAAGTCATAGTTAATCTGTTACTTTAGTTGGAACCCTAAGATTTTGGAATACTATCTTTTGGACTACTTGGACTTTCGTAGAAGATGAAGAAACTCCGTAATAAAAGTTCTGAGACCTTGAGGCCGTAGTTCAGAAAGTGCCGTTCTGTACTGCTGCTCCCCACAGAAGGTTCTGGCTGTCCTTACAGTAGTGGAAATTACATAATTGAGCTATTCGTGCTGCTGTGTCAGGCCAGGCACTGTAAGAGAGAAAATACTAGGCTATAAGTCTGCTTTGTGTACACCTAATAGAGAGCTATTTAAAGGTATTGAAAGCTTATGCCAACAAACTATTCTTAAGAGATTGGCGAGGGAGGGTGCTATATTTCCTTAAGAGCTGTATCCAGTATAAAATACAGTTAAGCCTGAAGTTATAGACAAGATTTCATCCTTGCAAAATTTCATCCTTGCAAATATAAGAGACCTTATGTAGATTGCGAAGCTGCTGATTTATTTTGAGACTGTATATGGACAGTCTTATTTAAGCTGGATATGCCTGCCAATTTACTCCGTAACTGCAAAGATTGTCGTAGAAATCACTACAATTAGCTCAGCTAATTGAAAGTAACATTCTGATGATAAAAATCTTTGAGGCTGAAATTTTCTTAAGGCTTTGGAAGAGCAGCAGCTGTGTCTCTGAACGGCTTCCTTCTCTATAGAAGAGTGTGGATATCCAGGTTTTTTTACTACAAGTCATTTATTCCACCAAAGTGGTTTGACTCTGCGCCTTGCATGGCTAAGACGTTTTGTGCTTTATAGTAGTTTTCCTGTAATATTGTTGTATTCATGGCCCATACAAGGAATGTGTTCAATGCTTATTAACTAGACAGCTGTTGTAAGCAATAATTTGGTTGGCTTTTGTAGAAACTAAAAGAACGGCTTCCCAAACCTTTCTGCAGCTTAAAATAAACCTAGGAGAATGTCATTGAGAAGCTTCACAGAGAGAGTCTTCAAGTACAAGTCTTTGTTGTACAGCACCCATTCCTGGATTTAAAACACATTTCCAGAAAGCCACATGGCATACTGTATGGAGCAGAGGTGGTGCAGATCTGAGCGTTCCTGTGTCTGCTTGGAAGCAAGTTGTCATTGCTACCTGGTGGCAAGCACCCCCTTTTGCTGCCAGTTGGTATGTGATTTGTTACTGGCTGGTCTAGTAGGATTATTGTGATGGATGTGTGTAATTATCAAAGCACATTGCCTCTGTGTTGTTAAAAAAAAAAAAAAAAAAAATTTTGATCCTTGAAGAGTTCTGTGATGGCCTCGTACATACACTTGGGTAAAATTGATCAATCCCTACCCTGGTTATCTGTGCTTGTAAAACTAATCATGCTTTTAGTTTTGCTTTGGTAAATTTTACTGGTGTGGGTGATCTACTAAACAATGTTTCCAATGTTTTTCCATATTGACTAAAGAAGTGAAAGCAACCGTGTCATGTTTGTTTCTCTTGTTCTGGGAGATTCTGCGTACTTTTTACAGGTATGGCTGATGAAGTTTTTAATGCATATTTACATTTTAGCTAAAAACTGCATAGATTGGATGACAACAGGGCACACATTTGGGAAACCAAAGGGTAAATGATGATCACTATCAGAAAGAATGAGGCAGCTAAGCAGTGCTGGTTGTGACTTACAACTGCATATTGTGTTTTCCAAAAGCAAGGAGGAGAGGCCTTGCTCAGGTCTGGGGAGTACATGTTTGAAAATTTCAGAAAGCTTTGAACAACCTACAAGCATACCTTTATTACTTAGATTCAATAACAAGGTGAATATTATGGGGATAAGTTTCCACAGCTTCTTGAGAAGAGACCACTGTGTTCGTATGATATGCCATGCTATGTTTCTGGTGCTCATCTAAGTTTATGGAGTATATATAGTAGTGTGGCAGACTGAATTTTTTGTTACACTGGTTTTGCCTAATAACTTCATAAAACTTGAATGACAGAATAAAGTCTGTCAGGTGGTTGCATCTGATGTTGGTGCAGCTTGTGGTTGCTTATCATGTGTGTTTTGTTTTCCTGTTTGAATTCTCTATACTGAAATGTACACTATCACACAAGTATAAATGCAATCTATAAATGTAAAAATATATTCTGCTTGGTTACAACAGAGGGCAGAATGTATTCTGCATGTTATGTCAAAAGTCAAATCACAGGTTTGTTAACTCTGGAATTTTTTTTTTTTTTTACATTCCCTCAGGTTTCTCTTTTACATGAGTATAAAGCTTGAGCACTGTAGTGTATGCCTACTGCATGAAAATCAAAATGTTAAACTGGATGTTCTTTTTTATTAATAGAGAGTAGTACTGTCAAAAAGAAATAAAGCCTGAAGTTGATGGGACAAACGAATCAACTAGCAAATACGTTCATAAAAACAATGATGACTTTCTTTTGTTCTCTGGAGTCTTGTTGTTGGCAATTATAGACTATTAGTATAAGAGTCTGTTCTTTACCAAGTGATTGTTTCCTTTTAGAACTGTTGTTTGCTGTAACTTTATGCTATCTCAGCATGTCTTTCTAAATGTCATCATGGCAATTTTCCATCTGTACTTCTTCCTGTTTTAACACTTACCGGTACTACCCAATACTCTGAAATTACTTGCAATAGTGAAGTTAACATTAACTGAAACACTATAGCATAGGAAATTAAACCTTTGAGGAGCTGTAAAAAAATATTTTTAACATTTGAGATTTCAGGTATTCCTTTGAAATTCAATATCCATGTTTATTTTGTTGCTCTTGTTTTTAGCCTGATTTTTCTTACTTGTGTGAAGTCTTGTTTTTCCACAGAAGTGAAATACAATGTAGGGCTGGTCAGCACCCAGGAAAAGCAAGAACTTGTTTGTAGTATTCAAGTTCATAGAGGAGCAAGCTTTTGGGTTTTTTCTTTTTTTTGAAGCAAAGCTTGTTAAGATTTGAATGATGCAGGAGAAACTGACTTGGGTTTATGACAATTTTTTTTTTTTTTTGCTTCAGGTGCGAGAAGATGTGTTAAACTCCTTGAATAACAACTTTCTACAAACATTAAACCAAGCATGGAATGATCATCAAACGGCAATGGTGATGATTAGAGACATTCTGATGTATATGGTGGGTATTCTGTTTTTTCACACATTTAACTTATGCAGTAAATTGTCTTTTGACAAATGTAAACAAATGAGCTGGAGGGGTAAAAAGCAAGGCATGCTTACCAGTTGTCTTCTGAAGACTACTGTCTGTCCCTTGTTTTGAATTCCCTGTGTGCATGCAAGACTATTACGGGTGTGTGACAAATTATAATTGGATTCTTCTTTCAGGTTATCTCATTATCACTTGAAAAATGTGTCTGAAAAATGATTGAATTTTGCAATTCTTAAAAAATAAGCTAATCAGACCCATTCTGGCAGGTTGTAGATGTTCCTTGCATGTTTTAGTTCACTTAGTGGTGGTTTCTTACTGTGGAAAGCATGATGGTGTAAAGCCTCCTCAAACTTCCAATGTAGTTGTTCTCTTGAGCTTGAGGGTTTGAAGAGGATAACTTTGCTTAGGTACAGTCTGTGTCCTTGAATGTTAAATTCTAATTGAATCCGTTGCTGTTCATAAAGGGCTTGAGTACAAGATTAAGCAGTGTACATAGATGAGAATTTGATCTTTTGTTGCATGGTTGTAATTTTAAAAGAAAAAAGAAAACCATTCCTTACCTGATAACTAACGGAAAAGGCCTTTTCTGAAGAGAGGAGGCCTTACATCTTTGTGTCTGGATTGTGTTATGCTGTAGGTAGTTGGTATATGTTTAAATTCCTAGAATGGTGGGCATGCTCTGAGGATGCAGGAGAGTGTAGTTTTGCATAGCTTCTAGCCAAAGGCTTTAACTTCAGAAGGAAGAGAAATACGTGTTGAGACACTGTGGGTTTTTTATGTAAAATTTTTTATTTCCAAAATATCACACTGGAGATAGTACTTCATGCAGTATTAGACAGTAAAGGACAGATAATGGTAGCGCCTCCTCCCCCCCCCCCCAAAAAAAAAAAAGATGATTAACGGAGATTGTACTCTTATTTATCTGCTGAACAACTGGAGCTAAGATCTTATCTTGTAGCTGCTAGAGATCTCATGCTATGAAATTGAACCTTGTTTGTATTAGCTGTGAAGAAATCCTACTTGGTTAATAAGCTACTAAAAGTTAAAGAATTTGGAGTAATTATTGTAGCCACATAGCTTAATTTTTAATTATTTTTTTACATGGATTTACTAGCTTTCGGGTTGTGGGTTTTGTGTGGTTGTTTTGGGGGTTTTGGCGGGATTGGTTGGTTGTTTTTAAGTTGGGAAAAGACCACATATCTAAGGATAGAGGGCTGGATAAAATGCCTTCAGTGACAGTTAATAATCTGTGTATTTTATCTTGCCAAAAGGAAGATTGAGAGATTGTTTTGAAGATGTACTACCTTCATTATGAGAAAACCTGGAATCTCTAATCTGTTTCTGAAGGACAAATACAAATCAATTGCTGCTAGCTGCATCTGGGCAAATTCAAGAATAGTTAACAATTAGAATAATCTACCAAAGCTAGTGGTGAACTTTCAGAAATGTTAGAAGATGGAATCCAGAGCTTTCTAGGGGAGTAGCTGTTGTGTTTTAGGCAAATATAGCCGAATACTGTGTACTATTTCAGTGCAGGAGATGCTGGATGCTCCAAGGTACGTAGGTGGTCAGAGTGGATAATGCAATGTTATCTGCTGCTCTTAAATTCAATAAATCTTTGATCCCTCAATGTCAGAGAAAGCTAGTTTATCAGCTGTTTCTGTTTTAGTGTATTGACCAGTATACTGAGGACCAAGAAGTCCCCTTTTTGGGGAAGGGTTACGTGCTTCAGTTAGCACTTCTGAGGGGAGATCAGAGCTGTTTCTTAAGTATTTTTTTGTGCTCAGGAGAGCAATGCCTTGACTTTTGTTTGAAGCTTGTGAGTGCTGTTAAAACAGCCAGCCAGCCTTCTCTTTTCCACCAAAGCTTCAGAAGATGGAGACCTGCAGAATTCCCGCAAGTGCAAATTGGACTTCATTGGGTTATATTTTAGATTCAGAACAGAATAATAAACAAATTAATTTGAATACCTCTGGAATGTATAGTCTTTCATGTGCTGTTTGACAGTTCCTAATTATTTCAAGTGGATGTTCAGTTGAGGCCTCCACTTGACTAATTATTTGCCTCCCATAGGCTTTTTTCCTTGTACCAAAATGAGACCCAAAGAAACAGAACAGACACACCTACAATAAAATATTTTTATAGTATAATAGTGAACTTAAAATAAATTTTTCTTTCAAAATGCTTTTATAAACTTCTCCAACTTTAGGAGCACCGATGTCTGTTTGTTAAACATCTATAATGTAACATGGTTTTTATGATTATAAATCTAATCTTTATTAGATAGAACTATCTAATGTAAGGAGCTGATACAATGAGCAGACTCCCTCCTTTTCTTTAACTTGGGGACAAATTGTCATTAGAAAATACATGCTTTGAGTACAAATTAAAGCATAAGCTATGGTTTAAAGTGGGACTAGTCTCAAAGATTGGCAGTTTCACCTTTGTCACTGGGGTGTCCTGTTGAGTGAAACATAATTCTCTTCATTGGAAAGAGACTAAGAGCAGGAAACTTCTAGTCTTAAGTATGTGTTCATTCAAAAAGCTTGAAAAAGCTGCTAGTACCACAAAATTCTAAAGTGGAGGAACATCTGTCAAAGATGAGACCTGACTGCTCTTCAAAGAAACAATTTTCAAGAACTCTCTAAAATAAGGAGTGATTTGTTCTTCTTTTATGACATTGAGTCTGAATGAAATGTGGTTTTATATAGTGATATGCTTATGTCAGAAGTTGTTTATACCTTTTTATTCAAGCACAGCTGATACAATATAAAAAACAAGCAAAAAACCAAACACTGTATAAACTCAGTCACCAGGCATTCTTAATTGGTATGCTTGTGCTCCATATACTTCCAGGAGAAGTATATGCAATTATAATATGTTATAAATAAAGGATAATCCTATCCTTCTCCTCTTATTTTGTAGGCCATCCCAATTACTTACCCTTCAGTTTCAGGAAATGTACCTACTAGTACCCAACAAGCCACAGTCTGATGTTAGTGAAAGTAAAACATGTAACATCCTCTTGAATTCTGATCTTACTCTCTTAAATTCTTGCATCAGCCTAGTGATTGTACATCTTAAACTAAACCTAAAAATAAATATAAAACAAGTCTAAAAATAAAAATAAAAAAACTAAATCTGTTTTAATGCCATGTTTGTTTTCCAGCTTATTTTCACCCATTAGCTCCCATATGATCTAAGTCAAAACAAACATCTCTCCAACCCACCTTAATCTCTTTCCTTTCTAAAATAGAAATTGATTCAATAGGAGCTTTTTTAGAAAGGTATATATTTTGTACAATGGGCTTCGTGCATTGTTGTGATACCTAATGACTAGGTTACTTGCTGTTTGAGGTTTTATGGCAGGATTTCGTTTTACGCGCAGAACCTCTTCCGCAAGACAATCTGTAAAGTTTACCTTATGCATTTTATCTCTTGTATCGTGGTGCTGTCTGGTAAAAGTCTGCTTGGTTTCAGGTCTGTTGTGCAACGTAGTTCTAGTGTAAGGTTTTGCAACCTGGAATTGCACAATAAAGGCAAATCTAACTTTCTTGAGATACTCCAGTTTCCACAACTGAATTTCAAGTTTACATAGTTCCACTGTATTTTGTAGTATATGTGCACTAGCTACAGTAATCAGTGCCAGAATAGATGTAATACTCTCTGTGAATTCATGGCACTGTCTGCAGCAAGCAGTGAGGCACTGAAGCAGTGAAGTCATGTCCTAAGTAGCATCTTCACTAGGTCATGTACTAAGACACGTTCAAGTAGTGAAGTAACGTACTGTGTTTGGGCATATCTGAAATTCAGTCTCGCTTATGGCTGCAGTGTAGGTAAGAGTACCTACAATAGTTTTTATTTAGCTATTGCATGTAACAGTAGCAGTGGAGGTGCAGTTGTTCGGTCTCTTCAAGCTACGTGAGCGTGAATGTTCTTGGAACGTCTTATGGAAACTGGGCTAAACTGGATTCTGTGGTGTCCCTTCTTCACTACTTGTACTTGCTAAATTTGAAGCAATTTCAGGTATGCATGCGCAGCAGTCGTACCCCTGGATGCATTATAGGCATACGGGTAGTGCCAGTTAAACACTGTCAGAAATGAACAATTACTCTTGTGAATACAGCTGTGTATTTTGCAGAGGGCAGAGCATTCCCTTCTCATCTGTGCAGTGCACAAAGCCGGTGTCTTGATTTAGGCCAGCACTGACAGATCAGCTATGTGAGTTTTGGCCTTGGGGCATATGACTGTTATTGTTCATGGCTTACACACAGGTAGTAGGGAGAAGTGTTGTTTTTATTTTCAGAACTAGGATCAAAGACACTTGCTATATATATACACAACGGTGTCTGAAGGCTATGTCATCCAGGTAGTGCATCCATGCAGAGAAGGGCAAAATGTGGCTGGTGATACTTTACAGTAGGTAACTTGCTTTAGTTGAGATCAGAATTATTCTGCAGTGAGCAGCATTGTAGTTCGTGAATAATTGTTGGCTGAAACTCCACCCTTGTCTCCTGAGAGTTACTCTTACCTTTTAAGCACCTGCTGCTTCTCCCCGTGGGAAGTGATTGCTGTTCAGTAGCATGTAACCTTGTCAGTCAAACCTGTTCCCAAATGGGGCTTCCTGTGTTAAGATTATTCTTTTCAGGTTGCGAGAGCTTCCAGTAAACAGTAAAAGTGAAATGTTACTGAGGGTAAGCAAATCAGCAGTATCCCAAACATTGATGCTGCTACTCTAATTTGGGTATTGTAGAGTGATCTGGCTTACTAAAGAGGCATTGCTGTTACACTGAGAAGAGTTTCTGGTGCAGTTACTATTTCATTTCATAATGGCAGTGTTTAGCACTGCTGCAACAGAAACTCTGCAGATGAGTCATGACAGTGGCTTTAATCCATTTTGATACCCTGCTGCCTGTGCTTCAGAGGCCTGAATATTCTTTGGAAATAATACATATATTCTTTTCTCCTGAAGTTATATAGTATATTAGACATTACTTTTTAATTTCTCTTTCATCTCTTTGAAAGTGTATTTTAAGCTTGTCTTACTTTAGAATCACATTTACTTATGTTCTAGATGGAAGTGTGTAAATAAGAGAGTGAATAAATAACCCTGTTTCTAAATAACAGAAAAAAAATTAGAGTAACATATTCCAAAGATCTAGACCACCATGTGTTGCTAAACTGACTTCATAAGACCAATTAGTAAACTTTTTGGTTTGAGGCAGAACTGAGTTTGCTTCATGAGCCACAGAGTAGGCATAGCTGACCTGTTCCCATCTTGTTTTTTCATTTAAATTAAGTGCTGTCTGTCTGAAGGGAGTGAGTGGGAAATCATTCCTGAGTTGTGGAACCCGGTGTTTCGCTTTCCTCTGGTCATCAAGTGGCAATCTGGCATATAATTAGTATATGAGTAATTTTGCCATGTAAATTTAGCTGCTAAAATCCTAAAGGGTGTGGTGTCTGTTCCTTCTGATTTTTTCTAATTGTGGAATTTATATAAACTTATAATTTTGTAATCTTTTTTCTGTAGTCTGAAGCATGATTTTTTTTTAAATGGTTTCATTTTCTAGGTGTTTGAGTAACTTTACACTTCAATTCTTAGTGTGGTAAAGCACTTAAGATGGAACCAGTGGAGAAGCTAATCTTTATACTCAATTTCAAACATTGACCTTTATCCTTAGAATTTGATTTTTTTTTTTATTTTATTTTGTTATAGCTATTAGTAAATTCTCAGAAAACCTTATCACAATCAGGTTTGTGAGTGGTACAGAACTCTTAATTTTTTCTAATAATATCATCCTGAGGTTTAAATGGTAGTAAAGCAGTATTTTTAGTAATTACCCAAACTGTTACATTACAGGAACCGATTATGCCCTGACAGAAATGGAAAGAAAAAAAAAAAAAAAAATCATTGCTCGTCTCAGAAGTAGTTTGTAAAAACTTACAATTTCTCTGTTCTTAATGTTGTTTTAAATGGTCTGATCTTATCTGGTACAGCACTACTGGATATTAAGTGAATACACTCATTTTCTGTCTGCTAGTAACTTTATTAATAGTCTTTCTTTTGTAGAGAGTTGGTAAGTTGGGAGAGAGGAATAGAAAAGGAAAGACAAAATTTTGGAGCATTTCTGCAGGTAGCATTAAGAAACTTAGGGTGTCTGCTCAGCAGTGTCTTAGTCAGCTCTGTATGGTGGTGTTTGGGCTATATGGACTTGGAATACTGTTCTGAGGATCAGCCTCAATTTGTCAATGTAGGTAGTATAGGGCTAGTGGATAGTTGAGGAGCTTCATCCTTCCTATAGACTGAGATTATGTAGGGAGATAGAATTTAAACCCAAATTGAAACATAAAAATTTTTCTTTCTTCTCTCCCACTTCTTTTCTTTTGTTTAGGGGTGTGTGTATGTGTGCAATTTTAATGAAACATAACAAGGTTTCAAGATATTTGCTCAAGCTGAAGGAAAGTGAATTTTTGGGGGGGGTTCAACATAAGTCCTTATGTACAATTTCGCAGTACCAATCCATAAATGTTTTGATTGTAACTGTTCTCATTTTGGCTTTACTTTTTCTTCTGTTCATCTAATGATGCTATTTAAGGAAATTTCACTGAATATTGAGGGGGAACTGTCTGCCTGAAAGGAGTGGTAGGAAGATGCATGGGAGATGGGGAAAAATAAATCAATTTTTCTTAAAGAACAAAAAGAGGTGGATGGAAGGGGTTTGAGTAGATAAGTAAAACCTCTTTCAGATTGTGCCATGAATTTTGTCAGTATTTGGAGATTCCTCTGCCCCCAAACTAAAAAGTGGAAGGCTGTAGATTTGTTCTGGCATGCTTTAGTCATAAATGCTGTGCTTATACTCTTAAGCAAAATAGACTTTCTATATAAATGAAGTTTTGAAAAATGAGACTGATTTTGAATTTTGAGGGTATACATAATTTCTTTTTATGAAGAAAGGAGAGAAGATTAATTTGATTATTTCTGTACAGTGCAAATATGACCAATCTCTTGCCATTTTGAATAGCATGGGTGTACTGAATTTAAAATTTTATTGATATGTATGTGTTCGTTGTAGGACCGTGTGTATGTGCAACAAAATAACGTGGAGAATGTCTACAATTTGGGCTTGATTATTTTTCGAGATCAAGTTGTACGCTATGGCTGTATTAGGGATCACCTGCGGCAAACTCTGCTGGATATGATTGCAAGAGAAAGGAAAGGAGAAGTTGTAGACAGGTAAGATGTTTGTAAATACATCTTGTAAATAATACCTGTCAATTTTTAAGAGTGAATCAAGAACATACACAAATAAATCATTACTTAAGGCTGCATTTCTGATGACAAGTAAAATTTCTTCATAATCTGGAATAAAATATTTCTTCGTATGTCAAGTTTTAGCATAATGGTAAATGGGGAATGTCGTTAAGATATATTTTTTTAGTATTTGTCTTGTGTTTTTTATTAAAACTTCTGTTAAATCTCTCCATTACTGCCTTGTGCCAGAGCATTTGGTTATAAAGCAGTTTTGACAATTTGTTGCCCTGTATTTCCTCTGTACTGAGAGATTGTTTAATTTCTTGTACCTGTGTTTTTTTGTTTTGTTTTTGAAGTTTTCTTTTTTAATTCTATTTCCCTTCCTCATGTTTTGAACCATCTGTTTCTTTGTAGTTCAGTTGCATCTCTGAGCTTTTAAATCTGTTCGTGTTTTCCAGCCAGTTTAGAAGATGTGGAGTTTTTTGCCACACACTGCAGATACTGCAACTGAAGTAACTTCAGATTTGCAAGTTTTCTTGTGCTTCTCCAGTTTCAGAGCAGCTGTTGGGTGTGGAGATATGTAAACTCCATGCTACTTTCAGTGCAGTTCTGTGATTGAGATTGCCCAACACGCAATTTATGAAGGGAAAAATACTCCCTGGCAACAGCTGTGTATTGTCCCCTACTGCCAGAAAGTGGAATTTTTTCCTGGATGCAGTTCTTTTGTTTTCACATTTTATTGATGTGTTTCTATGCCTAACCAAATGCTTGACTTGCCGATACATTTTTATTTTATGTTGTTTTTTTTTAAAAAAAAAAACCCAGACAACCAAACAAAAAAAACAAATTTTGCACAGCAACTTCCATCTGTGCAATTGTTTTGAATTGCTCAATTCCAACCTACATGTGCAGTTTTCAGTTTTCTTTGAAGTAGTATTTTTGGTTATTTTCTTGTATGTTGAAATATATTCTTAATAGTTTTCCAAGTCAGTAGAATTTGAGACCTGCTTCCCTATCATTGTATTTAAAATAGTTAATAAACATTGCCAGCTCCTTAGTTTAGAACAGAAACAAACAATCTTGCTCCTGTAATCATCTTGAAAACCTGTCATCATCTTGAAAACCTGTCATGTACCAAAGAGATTTAGGATGCATTTTCTATTACTATACTTTATACTTTATTTAAGTCAATATTATGTTCTGAGTTGTTATTCTGCTGTGTACTCTGTCTTACAAGCATGAAGATTTCTCAAGTTGTTAACAACTTACTTTTTGGCAGAGGCGCAATAAGAAATGCTTGCCAGATGTTAATGATTCTAGGTCTTGAAGGAAGGTCAGTCTATGAAGAAGACTTTGAGGCTCCGTTTTTGGAGATGTCTGCAGAATTTTTTCAGGTACAGCAATGTTGTAATATCACTTTTGGAATGTTATAACTGCTTGGAATTGTGAGAATTGGTGGTACTTTAAGTAATTGCTACTTACTTGATGAGTATGTCCATCTCATTAAATTAAGTAAGAAAAAATTTTACTAACTTTGCAGTAAAAGTAACACAAATTTTACAGAATTACCATAATTTGAATGTAGTTTTGAAATACGGGTACTGATAGCATGTAGAGTAATCATTGTGCTAATCTTGTGCCTGCTTTGGGCTATTTCATGCAACTTAGTCTATCCCTGCGTTGCAGCCACAGTCTTTTTGAAATACCAGTAGCATGAAAGGTTCAAACTGTTTCATGCTGGGAATGGAGAGGGGAGACTACTTGTCAAACTGCCTTTGAGTAAGCTTTGTTTCCTTCATAGTTTCTATGTTCTGAGTTATATTTTGTAATAAAATGAACTGAGTCAAAGAATTAAGTGTATCCAAGTGGCTATCCAGTTGTTGACTAACCACCGAATAACACATTTTACATATTTCCTGAGGTTTTTTGTGAGATAGTTTCAGGAAAAAAGCCAGTTGGATGGTTTTTGAGTGTAATCGTGCTCCTCCATTGATGGAAATTGATAGAAATTGTAAAACATGTTAAAAGATACCTAGATAAGATAATTTGTCAGTCTTCCAATTCTTATGCAGGATTAACTGTCATATCCTCTGATCTCCAAACTTCTTTGAAAATCAGAAGCATATGTTTCACAACCTTTTACAAGTCATTGCATTCTGTTTTTCATTGGTGCTGCGTAAAATTAAGAAAAATGATTACTTTCATTTAAGTTTTATTTCTTAGCTCTGCCTTAAAAAAAAAAAACAACAAACTTTCCTCCAAAAGGCTATGCCAACCAGTATGGATAAAAACAGTTTGACATGAAGTAATGCGCTCAGCATTGTCACCAATGAGAATAATGAGAACTGTTGATCTTCACAACTCTCAAATATGCCATAAACTGGTATTTTGAAAAGAATCTTTGCCTCTTCCCTCTGCCCATCCTTCTGTTTTCTTTGGACCTGTGGCTAAAACTGTAGTTGGTAACTGGAAACTAGGTTGGCTTAGGTTGTTTTAGTATGAAAAATACCATGTTCATGTTGCATGTGTACCCCCTTATGTGTGTAACACTTTATTTTGTGTTAAGCATGTATGTAAATCGTGGGGGTATAATGATCTCATTTGCTGGACATGGTGGGTTTTATTTGAACGTGCTTATCAATGCTGATCTGAAATAACCAGTACGTTTCCTTTTTCCTGTTTAAAAAAAAAAGTCTGAAGTATTAATTTGTGTTAATCACAGATGGAAAGTCAGAAATTTTTAGCTGAAAACAGTGCTTCTGTATATATAAAGAAAGTAGAAGCTAGAATTAATGAAGAAATAGAACGGGTGATGCATTGTCTGGATAAATCAACAGAAGAACCAATTGTGAAAGTGGTTGAGAGGGAGCTTATTTCCAAGCATATGAAAACTATAGTGGAAATGGAGAACTCTGGGCTAGTTCATATGCTGAAAAATGGGAAGACAGAAGGTAAGACTGCATTGTATGGGAGACAGAAATGCTTATGATACTGCTTATGATTTTTAAACATAGGATAAGTGGAGCTTAACGTTTGTCTTCCTGTGTAATTGTAAAAATGCTTTGATGGCTCTGTTTTGCAAACATCTGAGAATATTACTTCAGAGACTTTTAGAGGTCTTTTAAAATAGAGCCCATATGTATAACTTGTTTCTGTTTAGTACCAGATACAGGTACTTTTTTTGTAAGCCAACTATCTCTTAAGAAAAGTACAAATCTATTGTAGTGGTCTCTGTTACCTGTTTTCCATGAGCCATTTTATTACTTGCATTCCTCTATTATGTAGCTGTCAAAATGCATCGAAGTTTTTTGACCCACAGGCAGTTATTTAAAAAGTGCTAGTGTAAATGACTTATTTAATAGAAGTATTGCAGGACCAATTCTTGGGGAGAGGGCTTTGTTGCAGAAAAAAATTTGGCTGTTTTTAAAGGTTAAGCAGCAGCTTATTGAACTGGTTGAAAAAGAAGGGCTTGGCTTGATTTGGTTTTCCCTGATAGAGGTTAATGTGGGACAGAATGACTGAATGAAAGTTACTATGGAAAGAGATAGAACATAAGTTTCTAAAGCAGCATAATGAAGAAAGTGATTGTAGTATCTATATTTAGAAATTGGTGCTCATGCTAAAGCTGTGAGAATGGCGAACACGCTGCTTAGATTAACGACCTTTGCTCATTAAAGCAGCTTCACAATTACTAGGTGATAGTGACAAAGTTAGCAAATTTCTTAGCTGTAAGAAAAGAGTATTACTGTATTGAAAAGGAAAGCGATGATACTATACTTAACCTTTTTTTCTTTAATATCCAGTTAAGATAGCCTTCAGGCTGAGGATACAATGATACTGAAGGGTATTCATAAGATACAGGAATTAGTTTAACTTTCAGACTAGGTTTGGTTTAGTTAAATACCAGAGAGGAAATACTTGCTGCATTGTGAAGATAAGATTTCACATAAACATACAAGGATGGATTGCTCTTTTGGAAAGCCATGTTTAAGCTAAGCCGCTTCTCATTATTTTAGATGGATGAAACAAAGTAGTGTAAAATTATATGGCTGACTTTAAGACAAATATGAATTGGAACTCCAATTTTTACCAGTTTTTGCTTTTAATACAGAAACAGGCATCTCATTAGTGTTGTCCTATTTGCTTTAACTTAAGATTTTTCTTGTAACTTTTAATACAGTATTTGATTTTTGGGAGGATGATCTTGGAAGCTACGTTCTTAAATACCACTGGAAAACACAATCTTACTGAAGCTTTAAGTGCACTATCCTTTAGTGCAAGCATCAACTTTGCAGGAGTGGGGATCAGCAGTAGCAGATTGCATGCTATAGACAACCTAGAATAATTGAATACAACCTTTGTTTTTAATTTTGTGGCTGTTGCGGTCAGCATGTTGTCGGGGTAAAGGAAAGGGGACATCAGAAGATTGCAGTGCCTGAGCTGTTACGGGATGCTTTTTGTGGCTCAAGTGGCTGAACTTTTACTGTCGTCTTTTGCTATGAAATAAATGAGTTACAGAAGTGTAACAGACAGAGGGTGTCCTGCATAATATCTCCATTCTTGTTTCCAGACCTTGCTTGCATGTACAAGTTGTTTAGCCGTGTGCCAAATGGTCTGAAGACAATGTGCGAGTGCATGAGCTCATACCTGAGAGAGCAAGGCAAAGCACTAGTTTCTGAAGAGGGAGAAGGAAAGAATCCAGTTGACTACATTCAGGTAGTTAAATATTTTCACTTTCTTTTCTTCCATCTTTCCCACATTCCCCAGAGTAGCAGTTCACTACATGATTGATAAGGTAAACCTTAATATTGATTCAGAAGGGATTATTATTAATAAGCTACATTTATAGTTTTGTTTAAAATGTACATTTTCTGAATTTTCTAACACGTTTAGAACTCTTCTTTTACCTAAGTTGCTTGGAAAGTTACATGCTCAGTTTTTGTGCTTTTGGTAGCTGCTTTTATTAAACAAAATATTCGGGCTAATTTATGTAACTGCTGGGAACTTCTTGGGTTATCCTAAATGATATTTGTCTCCAAAGTGAGTTGTACGTCTGCTGGCAAATAGCTTTATAGAGTCTATTTTGTTTGATTTTATGAAATGTTAGCTATCAATGTTTATTGAGACAAAAATCACATGACAGTACTTCATGGCAAGATTAACTATGACTGAGAGGTGAATGTGTTACAAATCATAACAAATTACTTGCTTCATTCTTGGTCCCCCTGAGAAGCAGAATGCTTCTGCATGTTAGAAGACACAAGTGTTCATTCTTGTTCCCTCTCTCTCACTAAGAAGTGATGTGTACCATTAATTTATAAAGATCACAAAATACGCTTCAGGAGTGTTTGTCATCTTTTCTCTCCCATTGTCTCTGAGACGATGGTTTTAAATCTGCACATAAAATCTTTAGAGTTCATTGAACTTTAAGGAAATGTTTTTATAGCTGGAAGATGTTTTATACTTAATGTGAAAATGTGTATTCATTAAATGTTAAGGTTTTTTTTTTAAAATGTATAGTTGTCCTTGTGTCTGGTCTTTATGAGAAACATTTAATGCTGTCTGTCTATTATCATCTCTGCTGTTTTGTTTGAAATCAATAATTTTGCTAGAACTGGTTACTATTATAAGAAGCCATTTGAGTATAAACACGTTTTTGATTGGATTATTGATTTTTCTGGCAATGCCGAAGCAAACTTCTTACCAAGCTTGGACAAGAATCACCTTTCCAAGGGTTGTTAAAAAGAAAAGCCCTTTGAAATGTATTAGGTTCAATGATTAAGGGCTTTTGTGGTTTTTGTGGTGGTATGATTTTAAAACAAAAAAAAAAGGGCGGTGGGGGGGGCAAGTGATGTGGAAAATAAGTCTCTGGATTACTTTGACGAAATTTTCATTTATCTTGATGGACCTAAAGCAGTATCATAAAAAATTTAACTGAGAAGCAGTTAAAAACTTAATTAAAAAGTTGCTATCGATGTTTCCTGCTACGAAGGCAAATAGCGTAATGAAGCTGAAGAAGACTTACAGCCATACTGCATGTGTTTTGGCAGAGCTTATCCTCAGCCCATTAGTATGTACCCCAGCCATCTCATGAAGATGTCCTAGGGAAGGGATTGGTGTTTGATTACCGCTAAACTCCCGAACAGGTTTATCCTCCACTTCCATTGACACGATGGAAGAAGAGAAAAAATGCCTATGAATTGAGAAACCACCTCACTCTTCTCATCTCAGCCATGTTCATCTGAATCTTTCAAGAACTTAAATAGCAGTAAGAAGACAAACAAGGAAGCTACATTATACCATCAAGAAAAAAACTTCATCATAGTCCAGCACTGCTTCTGCAATATGACATCACCAAACCCTGAGCATAATTGGTGAGATGATTGCAAAAGCATTGCCAGGGGATTAGATTTAAAACTTCTTATAATAATTTGAAGGGATGTTGAAATGCTGTTGTAATTTAAGGTACTAACAGTTTCTCCTGTTTAACACCAGGTTGTTCAGATGGTGTACTCCTGGAGAGGAGGCATAAGCTAACCTTGGTAAAAAGAGAGATAGTGGGATTTACTTTGAATTTAATATTTCTAATACGCATTAATTAGCCTGTCTAAAGACCATTCCTTTAAGTGAGATGGTGAGTTCCTAAGAAACATTACTACTTCCTTGAGTAATTCTTGAATGGCTTCTTTAAGTAACCACATATAAATAATTTCTTAAGAAACTGAGGACTTCAAGATCATTTAACCTGAACAGTTTGTGGGCAGTAGTTACCCGTGATAAATTTAACTCTCGAGTGACATTTTCTTCTCCCCCTTGAAGGCGGTGTTAGTTATGTCTAAACACTGTGTGTATCATATATACTTAGCAAGGTGCCCAGGTGATTTTAAGATGCTTCCCCCTTCTGCACCCAGTTGTTTTAACTCTGGGTGAAGATGGTGCAAACCCTAAAAATGATGTCAAGAATCTAATGGTTTAGCTCAGAGGAAGTGGTTCACTTCTTCACACTGTGATAACGGGAGAGCTATTTCTTGTTTCTAGCTTTCATATGTTCACAGTGACTCTTAAAGATCACTAAGAAACATGTGACTAAATAATGCAGAACATGTCCCTGGATTGAAATTAGAGGGGGGGGGGAACCTAACAAGATTAGGCCTGTTGTTGCAGTGTGCTTTCTCCTCAAACTTGCTTAGTAGCTCTAGGGATGCAGTTAATGGGTGCTTAGCCTAATCTTCCTGTATCTTCCAGTATTTATGATAGTGACTTTGTCAACGCTATTTGAAATAGAAAAGGCTTAACAAGTACAGCAAATACCTCCTCTAAGTTGTGGATATAAAAATACGGTAAATCAGCCTGTTTAACAAGGGTGATTAAAAAACTTTCTTAATCTTTGAGTAGCCTATTACAGCAAACTGCATCAGTGTTTGACACCAATATTTTAGCCAGTTTATCTGAAAATTGCTTCCGTAAGAGATTTATGGCAGCTATAGGTATTTAAAAATGGAAATGAAATTTCTGATACTTTCTAACAATGCTGAACACAGAGAGCTTTGCAGAATCTCTTGACTGTAGATGTGGTCTTCACTACAACTTCATCTGTTATTACTGTTTTACAGCTTGCAACTTCAAATCAATGAAAATGTTTATACTTTTTTTTTTTAAAGGGTTTACTGGATTTGAAGAGTAGATTTGACCGCTTTCTTCAAGAATCTTTCAATAATGATCGACTCTTCAAACAGACTATTGCGGGTGACTTTGAGTACTTCCTCAACCTCAACTCTAGGTCTCCAGAGTACCTCTCATTATTTATTGATGATAAGCTGAAAAAAGGAGTCAAGGGAGTAAGTATAAATTAAATTGAAAGATCATTCTCTTTGTTAACTTGGATCAGATTAAACTAAGCTAACTTTCCAAGAATGATTTTCATATTAAGGTAAATGGCAATACTGCCGTGAGAAAGAAGTATATGTAATACATCTGAGCTCATAACACTTTAGATCTAAACTTATAGAAATATAAGGCACAAGGAGATCTCAAGATGTGTGGCTTGTCCCCCATCTCTGAAGCAGTATGCCTGGATTACTTCTGACAGATACCCCCACAAAAAAAAAAAATAATTAGATTGTAGTAGATTCTGCAGCTCCCTTCCTTTGAAACCTTAAATATCGGTTCCTTAAATGTCTTTATAGTTTGGCAGTTATTCTCAATATCTAATAATTTCTTTTGAATATTAGGTCACTTGGGTAGGGGAAACAGTTTGCTGCTTTTTACTGCTTTTACATAACAGAGGACTATTACCACATCTGTCTCTTCTAGCTTAATTACAACTGTTTCCTTCAGTCTTACCTTATAGTTTCTTTCATGAGATTTTTTGAGGTTCAGCATCTGGAACTGGACAGGATGGTTCAGCTGAGGCTTCAGTGGCTCTGAATAAAGCTGAATATTATTGCATGCATCTTATGCTTTGGGAATCAAATAGTAAATTCTATTTATTTATAAATTAAGTAATCATTTGTTGTGGCACTAGACAGGCTTTGCAAAACGAGTCTTAACATTTAAAAGCTTTCATTCCAAGCTAACTTTTCATATTCCTAATATTGGTTTCCATCTGTGCTTTTTTAAAAATACTTAAAAACTTATCCAGGAACTTTTACTATATTTACCAGGCATTCTACCTATCCATCGTCTCCCTTCTCCCTCACAATTGCTTTTCCCTCCATTTTAGATCTATTTCTTTCTCTGCTCTATTCAGTTTGTGCACTGTTCTTTTGGCTCTATCGTTCACATGTTGGAACAGTTTTGTTGGCTTCTTTATAGGCTACTGTTAGACCATATGCTTGCTGTGGATTACTTTAAGTATTTAGGTTGTATAAGACACCTGTGCTGGAAGGTTAAAACTGGCAAATTCTTTCTTTTACAGCTAACAGAGCAAGAAGTAGAAACTATATTGGATAAGGCAATGGTTTTATTTAGGTTTATGCAAGAGAAAGATGTTTTTGAACGCTATTACAAGCAGCACTTGGCACGAAGACTTCTCACAAACAAGAGTGTTTCAGATGATTCTGAGAAAAATATGATATCTAAATTAAAGGTAAGACAGTATCTATATTTTTGCTTCCTTTTTTTAATAAATATGGTTTCTTCTGGTTTTACATAAGGGATGTATAGATAACATACATCTTGATTGCTGTTAAATACAGATTTGATTTTAAAGCCCCAGCAGAAAACATGAAAGGCTTTTGTGAATAATTTTGTGAAAATAAAAGGAAGGAAATGCTGGAAAGCACCTGCGATGAGAGAGCAATCTAGAAAACAAAACTTCTTTTTTTTCCTCCAAAATTTGTTGAGACTTTCCAAATAAGAGGACAACTCCTGTTATCTAGTGACTGGATTTGAAGACAAGACTGTGTTTTATCCTAGATTTTCTGTTACTCACAGTAGAATTTTTTCTTGCATGCATTGTTGTTTTTTAGTTGCCTCCATCTGTAGCCTGGTGAAAATGCTGAATTCCTTTTTGATTAAGTAGTTTGAGATAGATTGAAAAAAAAATCTTCATATCAGTGTCTGGAAACACATTTTCCTTAGTTGGTTCAATTTACTGATTAAATAGGCCAAGAGATGAAGAAGAAAATAAAGCCTAAAGGTGAACAGTCCTTGAAGCAAGTTCTTAAGTGGCATGATAAATGGCTAGGGAACTTCAAACCAGAGTGATTTGATCCTAAAATCAAACTTTACTGATCCTCATTTTTGACCTTCATATTCTATCAGTGAGCGAAGCCTGTTTGCATCAAATTTCTCCAAATTACCAGTATTAATTCCAAATTATCTGTATTAATTTCTTCCCAATTACCTCTCCATCTCTTCTAGCCTGGTGATTTAAAAGGCACATTTGCAAGATGAACCAGTGGGCCTGAACTGCCCTCTTTTCTCATGTCTTTGCACAGTGATTAGGATGCTAAAGCTAAATAACATGCTTGCCTTTACCATATATGTCAAAGTAGGTGTTAGAAATAGGCACCAAGTTCTGTATGTGCAACTGAAACGCATGTATTTGTTCACATTTATCTATATGTGCATATGTCCCTGATTCTCAAAAGATCTAGTAATCTCACTTGGTAATCTGCAGTAAGCCTTTAAAATTAGACACTCTTAGGACAACAGGGTTTTTTCTGATAAAAATTAAGATTTTAATCTCCCTTTACAGTATCATGCTAAAAAGCAGGTGAAAGTGTATGTCTTGGTGTGATAAGCTTTCACAGGTTTTTGGTTTGTTTTTTTTTTTTAATTTGAGATGAGATAGGAAGCTAAAAAGAAACAAAAAATACAGTAATGGAGAAAAGAGAAGGAAAGCAAGTTTAGATATGTATAGGGTTATGAAACTTTTTAAGTTCTGAAAGTAATGCAAATGGAAATCTCAGTAACAAAATGTACGGAAATATCATTTTAATGAGATTTATAAACTAACTCTTAGTCTTGCAGTTCACGTATCAGAAGCTCTGTTTTCATAGTGCTGGCACAACAAGTTATTTTGTGTATTTTAGACTGAATGTGGATGTCAGTTCACATCTAAACTGGAAGGAATGTTCAGGGACATGAGCATCTCAAACACGACGATGGATGAGTTCAGGCAACATCTTCAGGCGACCGGGGTAAGAGTGTGGGGGTCTGCGTGCTTGTACTTTTACCAGGATGTTGTTAGCATCCTCAAATTACATTTCTCTTTACCATGTTTTTCATCTTACAAACTTTGTTAGTATTTCCCGAAATACAAAAGTCAGTTCGAAGCCTGATCCACAGCTTGGGTAGTGCCAATTTCATTCCATAAAATCGTGTTTCAACTTCCATTGTATCCACGTTCTTCTCAGAGATCTGCCGCAAGTACCCAGGTGCAGACCCGCTGCCGAGCGGAGCGCAGCTCAGCGGCTCTTCCCGCTCGCGGCCGGCAGGGGGCGGGCGGCGGCCGCCTTCCC